GAGAGAGAGAGAGAGAGAGAGAGAGAAAATAAAGAGGAATCTCTTACTCAAGGACAGTGGAACACCCACCCACCCCCAGACAGGGTCTTGTTCAATGGTTCAGGCTGGACTCACATTCATGATCCTCCTGCCTCAGCCTCCCAAGTGCTATAATTATAGGTATATGCCATCATGCCCAGCAATAATCTCCCATTCTGAGTTTCTGTCATCTCTTTGTCTAGCCCTGCTGGCTCTATGGCCAAAATGAGATTCCAGTAAAAAAGGTTTGGCTGGGGCCAAGGATTTAGCTCAGTGGTGCCACCTCCTGCCTCGCAAGCGCAAGGTCGCAAGTTTGATCCCCAGCACCAAAAAAACAGAAAAAAAAAAAAAAAAAAAAAAAAAAAAAATGTTGTCTTTATTTTAGGCACATCCAGCTACCAGAAACCTAAGAGCCTTCACCAGGGTTACCACAGTGAGGATGACCATTTGTGGGGCCCTGTGCCAAGCACATCGCACTCTTGATGTCATTTACTCGCTGGGAAGTGGTAACACAAAGCCCACGGGGAATGGGAGGAAGCCATCAAGGCTGGCGTGGAAGGTAAGGAAGGAGCCGGGGAGCTTAGCCTGTAGTCTAAGAGTCAAAAGAGACCACAGTGACAATAAATTTGCTAGGGCCGCCCTAACAAAGTACCTCAGACTGAGTGGCTTAAACAACAACAACCTCTCATCTCACAAGTCTAGAGGCTACAGGAGAAGGGTCTGTTGCAGGGCTCTCGTTGGCCCGTGGGTTGTCATCTTGATCCATGTACAGCCATCTTTTCCCAACATCTCAGTGGCGGCAAACCCAGCAGGCTGATTTCATCACTGAAAGCTCTAAAAGTTCCATCATCACTGCTTCATAGTCTTCGCTCTGTGTGTGTGCAAGTTCCCTCTCATAAGGACACCAGTCTCACTGGATGAAGGCCTACTCTATGGGCCACATTGCAGTTTGATTATCTCCGTCCAGACGTATTTCCAAATAAAATCATATTTTGAGGGTGCAAGATTAGGACTTGAATGCATGACTTCAAGGACAAACACATAAAACCTTCCTCCAATGAGGGCTCTAAAGCCTGAAGTGGGTCAGTGACAAGGTCACACAGCAAGTTGAAAAAAACCAAGACTAGAACTGAGGTCTCTGTGGGCCTCAAACCTTAAGCAGACTTTGCCATGAGTAGTAGCAGCATTGCCTGCTTTTAGAACCTCCTTCCCCACGAAGGGCATCCCTGAGCATAGACAGGTATAACAAGAGCCCACCAAATCTCTCCGTAGGCCTGGGCAGAAGACACACAAAGACACACAAATGACCAACCAATAACTAGGAAAAACAAAATGCCAGCGAGGAAGGAGCCCTACAGAATGCAGCTCACTATAAACAGCAAGCCTTATTTTCAGTAGCCAGGTCTGAAATGTAGTCCATCACCTGGAGCTGTGCTCCTTACCATGGCCACAACAGCACAGTTAGCCAGAACTTGGCTGCAAACTTGCTGGGCTTCTCTCTGGCTCTCTCTGTCCACTCTAGGGCCTGCCTCTCCCAGGCCTGGCCAGGCCAGTGGCTATCCATTTTGCAATCTCTTGTGAGAACTAATTCTGGAAAAACCATACAACCATGCCAGGCAAATAATGCCAGCCCTCAGGAGGCTGAGGCAGGAGGAGCACTTCAGTGAGTTCAAGGCCGGCCTGAATTACACAGCGAGACCTTGTCTCAAAAAATAACAGGGAGCTGGGGATTTAGCTCAGTGGTTCCGTCACCTGCCTTTTAAGGGCAAGGTCCGGAGTTTGATTCTCAGCACTACTACTACTACTACTACTACTACTACTACTACTACTACTAATAATAATAATAATAATAATA